TCTCTTGGAGGAGAGACGAAATGTTGCATTAGAGAAGAACCCGTCCAGAAGACCTATACAATTTTTTTCTTTTTGATTTTTTACCTGCATTACTGAGATGCATCAGGACACTAAAATCATAAGTTTTTTTAGATATAGGCCTATGAAGGAAACGTAAAAATATATAATAGTAAACAATGTTTGGGTTTTTTTTATTACACTACTAAATATATTTATGCAAAGTAATGGACACTATCAGGAAGCCATCTTAAAAAATCCATCTTGTTCTAATAATACTAATACTAATATTTCTTTTTAGTTGGAGTGGTAAAGGTGTAAATAATTTTGTTTGTATGCATCATATTTAAAGCAATTGAACACAGGAAACATACCTGCATTTATTCTTAATTTCTAGAGCCAGCACAGTGTTATCTTAATAAGATGGTTCATTAGATTTCATGTCTGTTGCTAAAAGAAATGGTAGATTTCTGCCAATTGCAGGCGGTTTATTCCACACCTCTGTTCTACTAATCAACATTTATGATCCAWATTTTAATTGCACAGACCTTACAAACAGATTACATGTTAAATCTTGACTAAGGTTAATTCTAGTCTAGGTTTAATGGGAGTTTTCTTCATCAGTGTCACTTTGTCACTCTCCCATCAAGCTTTGACCAGGTAAAGAACTTGATGAACAGTTGTTGTGGCTCAGGGATGTATTTTTTTACCACCACAGAGAGAAAATGATCAGTTTGAGATTCCATCTATGAGGATCAGCCAGATCAGGTACCAAGCCCCACAGAGCTGGGTGCGCCACATACCGGCAGCTGCACTTTGGCTTTTTTTATTTTTTATTTCCTAAATAAATTATCATTGCAAACCAGTAAATATAAGAATTCATTAAAAGTGTTTATCTTCTTTTATTGTAGTGTCTGGCTTCATTTTATCCTCACAACCTGCTCTTAAAAATACATTTGCCCTCCTTTTTTTAAAACTGCATTATGTTGACGTTTTGATGCATTCAAGTACAATCAGTAAATGAAACAATCTACGCTGAAATCAGTTACTAAACAAGAAAAAAAGTTCATGGGTTATATGTCCCAATGAGGTTAACACAGACACTTCTCAATGTATTTTGGTTTCATTACATGATGAAATTTACAGAAACAGTAAATTCCTACCATCCCTCAGGTATCACTGCATTAAAAACAATCATCATTCTGTAACAGATATTATCACATGAGCTCAGGAACTCTTCAGAAAACCMTTGTCAGTGAACACAGCTTGTTACTACCACTGCAAGTGCAAGTTAAAGCTCTATCATGCAAAGCCAAAGACATATCAACACCCAGAGACACTGCAGGCTTCTTTGGACCTGAGCTCATCTGAGGTGGACTGACACAAAGTGGAAARTTGTCCTGTGGTCTGACGAGTCCACATTTCAGATGGTTTTTGGAAATCATGAACATCCTGTCTGCTGGGCCAAAGAGGAACAGGACTGTCTGGATTGTTATCAGAACAAAGTTCAAAAGCCAGCCTCTCTGATGGTATRGGGGAGTATTGTGCCCACACAGTAAAAAACAAAGTGTCATTTTAAYRCCTATGGAGTTGAATTTAACTGTTTCATACAATATTTGCCCCCACTCAATATTAGTGTAAAATGTACTCTATAGCCATCGTCAACTTCTCARAGTTAAKYTGACTCATTTTAGTGTCAAAAGCAACAATGTAAMGAGTAMAATTATTTCACACYATWGTTTTTTTWCACTCTGCAGAGTAAYATTGTTTTTCTGGAGTTACACTAAATTTACTATAAWAAGTACCYTTTWTTGTGTATACTCCTATTTTTTGTTTTCCTTTTTACACAGTAAGAGTCAGAGTACACAGAGTTATGCACTCTAACCAAGAGTTAAAATTAACTCTTGAAAGTGTTGTATGAACACTTATTTTTCCTTTTCCTGCATTGAACAGCGCAACAGGGTCGACTTTCAGACACCAGGAAGTACCTCTCACTCATGGTGTCGATTTATGGCCAATAACACAAAACCTAAACTTAAACAACTAACCAACCTGAACAAGAAAACTGACCAAAAAAA